ATTTTGTGTTAAGAACTTGTGCACAAAGTACTGTTGTAAAATTTTAAATAAGCAATCATCTGGGGTCCAGGAACGGATTAATCCATTTTACATTAATTCCTATAGGGAAAATATTTTCGGTTTACAAACATTTCGGTTTACAAACGACCTTCAGGAACGAATTAAGTTCGTGAACCAAGGTTTGACTGTATTTTGTTCAGACACGACCCACTGTCTGTTATTTAAAATTATGTCAATACTAAAACTGAAAAATTAAAAATTCTAATATATGCTATATTTTGGAGACTGGTTCTGCTTCATATTCAGGTAAGCATGTACCCTAAGTGTGAAGTCTGTCCAATAGAGCTAAAAACATTGATAAAGATTAGCTTTAGTAGGAATCTTCTTACTTAGTGAGGGAGATGAAACCAGTCTCTGAAATCTATTAAATTTTAGAATTTTTGACTTTGACACATTAATTTTTATACTGTATAGTTTTAAATAACAGGCAATGGATAATGTCTGCACAAAACATCATAATAAGAAAAGTATAAATATTTTACCCTGAAGGCCCAAGTGCCCAATCTCCAGCTTGAACATGTGTCTCTTTACATTCACTAAGACTACGAAAATGCCGGTGTCGGAATGGTGCTGCTGGGAAACTATGATGCCTTGGATGAGGTAGGGTCCGAGACTTATGCTGCTGCTGTATGGTATCATCACAATTACTTCCTGAAAGCATAAAGACATATAAAATAATTAAACAAGATGTGGCACCTGACTCCTGTAATATGTAGTATCTGTTCCTATATGACTTGAAGCTTTTGTAGCAACTAACAGTGATAAAATCCTCTAGGGTGACCCATGTCAACTTGAAAGAGAAGTCCAATGTTTCAGATACTGTCTCTGTCTCCATCATCAGTGAATTATGTGATTGGGAAGCTGACTCACTATAATAATACAGTGTTGCATAAATTACAGAGATTCCTATTCACACTTACCTTTCATAACAACAGAATAACATCCAATTTATCTGGAATTGATATCACATCTTAGGCAAGCCAGTCTGTGAATCAAACCTGGACTGCATTGTCACAGTACTTCAAGAAAAATTAATTTAAAAGCTATGATGCAGCTTCAAAATAAGATTTAATTTATTTTATGTTTAATACTCAGGTTCAGTTTATAAGTGCATGTGGTTTACAGTGATAAGTGCAATATGTAATATAATTTGCAAGAAACATTCAACCAACCTGGTAAGTCAAACCATTTTGTTGAGCTACGTGTCTCTTCTAAATGAAACCCTTCATCATCTCCACTTTCTATGCTGTCTACATCATCATCATCACCGGGGATGTAGAACCGACCAGGATTTGAGTCCTGACTGCTATCTATAGTAGAGGACTCTTGCTGTGTAAGGGTACTGCAGTTTGATTCCCAACCTGAAGGAACCTCGCTGGAGAAGGATATGTTATCACCATCACTATAAAGTCCTGAGTGTTGCATCAATTCTGCATCTGACTCATCATCTTCGTTATCACTTGTGATTACAGGCCAACGGTCATGACGATGATGGCGTACACATAACCAACCTTAAACAAATCAATTATCTACATAGGAGTACAGTATATACCTTGTTATCTGGGAGACAAATTTACAAGGCAATGCAAACTTGTATGTAAATTTCAAATTTTGCGGTTATATGGTTATAGTTAAGACAATAATCACTGCAGGAAGAATTAATAATAAAGTATAACACAAAATCACACATTAAAATATAAATGTCACCCACACTGCAAACAACATTTATTGGTGACTAGTCACATTATATCAGTCACAAAGGCCATATAAAGCAACAAGTTTATGATAATTAGGATCTGCATTTTGTTTCCACAATAATGTTATGATCATGATTTTAGTTCCTGCAAGTATGGAAGCATCAAACTGAAGTGTTAAGGCTGAGAGGGGAAACGGTTGTTCTTTGTCCCCTCTCTCAACTGAAGCATTTCTCATCATGAATTATAGTGAAAAATACATATAATGAGGAGGGCAGTAGAAGAGAGATAAAAGCATTGTTTGCAAGTAACTGATGTATGCCAGAGCATGACTTCATAAACTCAACATAAATCATATACTGAAGATTACTAGAAAAAATATGCAAAGATTGAATAGTCAATTATAAATGCAGACAAGATTCAAACATTCCTCACCTAAAGCAGCTCAGAATAGAATAGGAATAATTCTAACCTGCTTTGTTCAGAAGATTTGCTCCCTCAAACGTTGTTGCCAAGAGTCCAAGCACATAGAAAGCTGTTCCCCGTACAGAGTAGACAGGGCAATTCTGGGCCAAATGTAACACTGCCTGAACAATCCCATGTTCCGCAAGGAGAGAAATGCCTAACGAAGAAGTAGCGACATGACCGCAACCCCACAGTGCTGCTTTCAGCTTCAAGATTTCCTGCTCTGAACTACAATGTCTGTTATGAACACACTGGAAGAAAAAAGAAATAAATACCATAAGTTCAGGAAGAGGCCAAGAAGTGACAAGTTTAAACCCAAAATTGTTGTGCTATAAGTTCAGGAAGAGGCAAAAAGGTGACAAGTTTAAACCCAAAATTGTTGTCACACTATGTAGTCACAGATTGTAATATAATTACTTTCGAGTCTTAACAGCAATTGCTATGATATTCATTGATCTATATAAGTAATTAAATTTTTTATATAATTTCTTAAAAATTAGCAAAACAAGGCACCAAAGACAGAGAGACTAACAGTGACTACATATGCACATGTGCACATCTACATGTTCTTGTGCATTACTTACACATAAAATGTTTTGAAAAATGCATTCTATAAATTATACTAAACTTCAGTTAAAAATGTAGGAACGTCATAGCTTGGTATTAGAAGTAATTTCCTAATATGAAATACAGTGAATTCACCAATAAAGTTGAATGCAACTGTCACTTCCTGACTCTTAGTTGTAATTGCATAAGACTCACTGCCAAGCAATACAATTTATTCCTGAGCCAAGTATTCTTTCACAAAAGCAATAAAATCAACTTCCCTGTGTTAAAGCAGTTTCTACCAGGAGGCAGGAAGTTACAGCTGTGTTAAACATTTATCAGTTTATGCATTGTCTAAATACATCAAAGTCCACCAATGGACCACATTCTAAGCTCGCTGAATTCAATCTGCATCAGGACCAACCCTAATAAATTACCACGTGTCTAGTCTGTCTACTGTGTTTGCTGGGTCAACACACAATACACTAATTTCCATTTTGGTCCAAATGTTTCAATTTTCACACTTGTTTAAAGAATGCAAGTTGAAGTAGTAATAAACCCTTTTACCAGACAAAAATTGAGGCACTAACAAACCATACAGTAGTAGCTTAACTGGTTTCAATACTTAAAAAATACCTGGAGGGTATATCAGTGCTTAAAAAGTTAT